GGTAGCTCTACCACCTACTAGCTGTATAACATTTCTAGACCCATGAAAAAGAGATAAAACCTGTAGCAAAATAGAAATAATAAGAAAAAATCATAAGCATGTTAAAAAGATTAATAAACACTTTATAAATAAAAGAGACATTTACAACGAGATTTGTAATGTAGAGGTTAGGAATGCAGTATTTTGAAGATTAGATGAGTTAACTTATGTAAAGTGCTTTTGGCGGCACCAGTACACAGTAAGCATTAAATCAGAGTAGTAATTTTTACTACTATTATGTAAGGCTCTTAATTAGCGCCATTCCCACAATAAGTGCTTACAAAGCACTGGGCATAATATCTTGATACTACTGTTACTACTAATAACAAGCTAGCTCCATTATTGAGGATGCCAATATGTCAGTAATAAATGTCAAGAACTAAGGCAGGAACCACTAGATCCTAGAGGTTGCTGGCAATTGGAAATACGTATTAGGATCAGAGAGTGTTCCTATGCTGCTTTTGTTCACCTCAACAGAGCAGCTGATGGGATTCTAAGGAGCCTGTGATTAAGTAGAAAAAGAATTCCAAAACCATAATATCAACCATCTCCTTTTAACCTGTGCTGTTAGTGAAAATCACCTGTGGGCAATAAATACTTCATGATGGCTAAATTTTTTACTAGAGTTTGTTTTGCACACATTAGCATCTTAGGATGTTTTAGAATCAAACTTGAGGTTTTTATGAGAAACGCTCAGGTGCATTTTCTCAGAGATGACTGTGCAAAAACTGATAAGGACCACAAAAAATCTGATGTTTTCAATACATTTTAAATAAATATTAATTAAATTTTATATTTAGTTCATTGTGTCGTCAACAGCATTTATACTATAGTTTATGTAGTCATAGAATGGTATAGTAAGGTGTATATATATATATATATATATATTTATATAAACTGAACATAGTATCTTTTTGACCTTCCACTGAGAAGAAAAGAATTGTACAGAATCTGAAAAAGTGGTCCTTCTAATACAGTATTCTGGAAGATAGAGGCAGAGTTAAGTTGTCCTTGGTTCCATCCTGAAGTATTGTACTTGCCGTCTCCATTGCTTCATCTTCATTATTTTCTCTCTTCCACAACACCAATGACCTTAATTTTGCCAAATCCAAAAGTCAATCTTGTATACCAATATTGCTTGATCTTTGACTTCTTTTTCACTGCAGCCTTTGACAAAATTGATCCCCTCTCCTTTGGAACAACCCAACTATCTTCTCTGGGTTTCTATCACATCATGCACATTTTGTTTTCCTTTTAATTACTACTTCTCAGTCTAATTTACTGGCTGATTCTCCTTTTCCCAACTTCTAAATGTTATAGTGTCCCCAGAGTTTGTTTCTGTGTTCCCTTGTTTATTTGCACTCTCTGCCTAGGTGAGCTAAAACACATTCATAGCCTCAAATACCATATGCATCTCGATGACTCTCACATTTATATATATCAGATTCTGGCTTCTGTCCTGAGACCTGGATCTGTATAAAGTTCAATATCTTGTTTTGAATGTCTAATAAGCATCAAAAATGAATATATATCAAATGAATATATCTCTCTCCCACCCACCATCTACCTACTCTGCCAAACCTTTTTTCTAACATTCCCCATCCCAGTTAATGGTTCTATCCTCTACCCACTTCTTCACAGTGAAGGAAAATCCATTCGTCGAATCCTCTTTTTTCTTCACTCCACATAACAGGCCCATCAGTAAGTCTCATCACTTTAGTCTAAAATCTCCACTTTCCTGCATTATTAAAACAACTTCCTAATTGATCTTTCTGCTTCTACTCTTTGCCTCCTCCTCTCCATAGCCAGCTGTGATCATTTTGTAACAGTAGATCAGATCCCTGCTTATCCTGCTGCTGGGGCTTCTCATTGTAATTATAACTAATATATATTAGATTGCATAATGTTAACATATACAATATATAGTAAATTACAATAAAATACAAACTTCTTGCCATGGCCTCTATGTACTTTTTGAGTTCGGTTTCTCCCACTCTCACTCATGTTTCATCACATACAGGTACACCACTATTCTTACTGTCTTTTGAATCTCCTTGGCTCATTCCCACTTCAGGCCCTTCTGTTGCTTCTCCTCTCTTCTTTCAGGTCTTCGAATGACTGGCATCCTCTCCCATTCACCTCCTTAGATACCTTCCTGGACACTAGGTGACACACTGCTCCTGTCCTATCTCCACCTCCCCAGCCATGCAGTCATTTACCAGCCCAGTACCCTGTTTTATTTCATAGCAGTGATCACCATCTGCCTTTATCTTTAGAATTTACTTGTTTACATGTTTATTGTCCCTCTCCTCCCAAACAGTGTAAGCTTTAGCAAGGCTCGGTCTGTCTTGTTCATTTCTCATTTGTCTTGAATGGCATGTAATGCTTTATAAGGGTTATTTATTTATTTATTGAATAAATGAATGAATTTTAGGAGATTAGGAAGATAACTCACTATAAATCTAGTTTTAGATAGAGAATTGAAGAGGTTACATTTTTTTACATAAGCCTAACTCTCAAGTATATGAATGTAGTTTTTGAAAGATTCATTTGAAAAAACATTTTTTTGGTGTTCTGTTTTTTCTTGCTTCACTGATTGCATCCTTTCTTTACACTTCTGTGACAGTTTAGTTTTGTTACAGTGATCCATCCTATGAACTTTAAACTCTTTAAGTGCATTTCACTTATACTTTCAAAAATTGTTTTAACCTTATGTTTACTAGCTTAGTGAATCCCCAGTAGTTTGAGGACAAGCTGTTATCTGAGGTTTCATTCATTCATGTATTTAACCCCTGCTTTGGGAAAACTACGAAAATAGACCCACTTGAGATACGATAACTTGCCCAAAGGTAGAAGGCTTTCAGTTCCCGGTTCCAATCTGCTAATTTTTAGTCACTAAAAGCAAAGTAATTTTGGGGTAACATTTTTTTCATCCATTGAAACATTACTCAGTAGATGTCTAAGTGTCTATGCTAAGTGTGCAAGGATAAAAACAAGATGCAAAACCCCCAACTGCAAGAGATTTTTACATCATAACCATATTTTCTATATAAGGAAAGTACATAGAAATAAAGTACAATGCAGTAGTTCAGTAAATGTAAGTCAGAATTTTCTAGAAAACTTTGATCACATTTTTAAATAATCTTGCTGACCATGGTGGCTCACACCTGTAATCCCAGCACTGTGGGAGGCTGAGGCAGGTGGGTGACTTGAGGTCAGGAGTTCGAACACCAGCCTGTCCAACATGGCAAAACCCTGCGTCTCTACTAAAAATACAATAAATTAGCTGGGTGTGGAGGCGGGCGCCTGTAATCCCAGCTACTCAGAGGCTGAGGCAGTAGAATCGCTTGAACCTGGGAGGCGGAGGTAAGCTGAGATTGCGCCATTGCACTCCAGCCTCGGCAATAAGAGCACAATTCCACCTCAATAATAATAATAATAATCTTCATACATAATAAAATCTTTTTGAACCAGAAAGGATCATTGAATGTATTTAGTGTTCTGTCTTTCACAGAGAAGGTGGAGATTTTAAATGCTAAATCCCAAAGCCAGTCTGATGCCAGTCTCACACACACACACACACACACACACACACACACACATTTGCCTATTGTAACTAATACATTTATACTGGATCAATTAGGCAGAAAATCTATGGGGGGAAAGGAGCACTGAATTGAGATTTAATAAATTTGGACACATATCAACTTGTTATTAAGTAGCTATACTCTCTCCAAAAATTATTTAAACTGAGACTTTAGTTTCCTCACATCTTGAATAAAGTCTAGGTATTCCTTAAGGTCCATTCTAGCTGCAGAATGTGAAAACACTAAGTTTCCGTTTTTGAATAGCTTTTCAGAGCTATGCTGAAATTCATCTCTATTATTAATGAAAGGCCAGCCGAGGAAATTGAAAGTCATTTCTGGTTTATTAAAAGTGACTTGGCAGCAGATTTCTTATCAATTTAAAGAGTTAAACACATTTTGGTCATAGAATTGTGAGTAGGTATTTGTGGGAGGAAGAGGAGTAGAATTTGGATAGATCCAGACTTGTTGAAAATGAGAAAAACAATGAATGTAATGTATGGAAATCATTGATTCATATCGGGAAATATGAGAGCCAAAAATAAAGTGCTTTGTGATTGCTAGGAAAGAGCTAAAGGTAGAGCTTGAAGCACCTTGTTTTGTTAGGAGGCTGTGAAGCCTTGTGCAATGGAATATCACAGTCTACAAGGAACCAGAGGACTCTCATGTTGTCCCAGTCCGTTTCGTTTGGAATAATAATAATAAAAAAACAGGCTGCAAGTCAGATGGATTCTGTAATGGCAATGTTCCTGTGACTACTCACCCCAGGGTAATCAGATTCAGAACAGACCTACACTTAACCCTTTGCATGGCAAATATCTGATTAGCTTTTGGGATCTCACTACAGATTTAAAAATGGAAAAGCATTTTGTTGTGTCTGTGGGTATGTGGCTGTGGCTGAATGAATTCAGTACATGGGTTAATTTAACACTATTTAGTCACACATACTCTAGGAAGGGATTAAAGTGCAGTTCACACAATTTCTGGCATCAGTCAGTTTTGATTTTGCCTCCTGGAGATTTGTTTTAAATTTTAAACTGAACTGTTAATAAGCTAAGTGCTTACATCTGTTAATTAACATATTATTTAGCTATTACTTACCTTGAGGTACTTAACTTTCAAAAACATAACAACTGTCTTGTTTGTGGTACAGAACATCTCTCCCTGTGTTTTCTCTTACCACCAACCATGTTTTTAGGATCTCCTCTCTCTTTCCCATGAGATAGTCCTCATTGTTGCCTATATTATAGTTTTGTTTAAATAACTGTGTAATTATGTCATCTTTAGTGAAAGTCAGTTTTAATCACAGAAATATGTGAAATGTCAAATTTGCCTCTTTTAAAAAATGATTTTATAAAAATCATTTAGGATACTTACATCAACGATCAAGAAATCTAGCCAGCACCAGGCATTAGTGAAATATGTTTGAAATCCGTAAGCGACCCATTTGAGAAGCATTTCCAGAATGAATATATAGGTAAAGACCTTGTCAGCATATTCTAGCATGGTTTTGATAGTCTTTCGCTGTTCAATGTATATATCTTCAAAGGCCTGTGAATAAAAAAAAAGTATTTTATTTTACTTTAATGGCTTGCTTCTTCTAAATATTTGAAAAAATTGCTTAGCATAACACTGAGTACAAAATAATAATTTGATTATTGATATTTTACATAAACATTGAACATCGGACAAAATCTAAAGACTAAAATTAACTTGAAAATGCTGGCAGGGAAATGTCATGCCTTTAGTGATTTAGAATGTGTTTTCTTTCCTACTTCTCACCCCAAAGTCTCTATCTCAATTACTGCTGCAAAGACATGCCATGCTTTTAATGCAGTAATATGAACTCAGAAATAACTAGAAGTTCCGTTAATGAGGGACAAAATTGGCCTATTTCAACATTACTTTCTACAATTTCCTGAATGATCTGGCTTATTTTGAGAGAATAAGTTGATTATACATGAAAAAAGGAAACAAAATGCACTTTAGTCCATAAATGTTAATACAATTATTAGGGAAAACTGGATGGTATTTGACAGGGAAAGTAACGTGGTTACAGAATGTCTCTGCAAATGGCTGTCTCAGTGAGGAAAACATCTGTTAGATAAACACCAAATGAGAAATTCCATCTGGCTGTTTCATGGTGCTGATTTGTTCTGAACTGAATTTTGCATTGTTAAACCTTGGATGCCAAGCTCTGCAAGACACAGATATGCCTTTCCTTTTGATTCTGAAGCTCAGTGTCTGCATCTGGTAATTCTGGAGAATAAACTATTTCACCAGAATCTGATTCTTGCCAATATGTGTTTCACTTACCAAAGCACCACTACTTAGAAGAATCATGAACACAATGAAAGTCTCAAACCAGTTGTGCTCAACAATGCTGTAGCAGGTTTTCCGAAGATTCCACCAGATCTTTCCTTTGCCTTCTTCTATACTTACTTGACAGAATGGAAACTTTTTAATACATCCTAAAAATCAAATATAATTAATTAGAAAAATATATTTTAATCTTAAGTAGGAAGAAAAATAAATGTTCTTGCTTTCTCTCCACCCCACTTCCAGTGATCATTTCATAGGGTAATGATCTCCTTCATTTCCTAGTTATCTTCAGCATCCCTCCTGTAAAATAAATCATTCTCACTTAAATACTCAGCCAGCTACTTAGAATTCAAGGAAATATTTTATCTAGATTTGCTTAAGTAACAGTGGTTTCATTCTTGACCACCAGTCAGGATTGTTTTACCTCAAGGCCATTGATGAAAATAGGGTCCAGGTGCATCTCTCAGGTTTGAGGTAAAACCACATGTTCGAGTTGTTTATTCATGTTTTGACGTAATCCTGGGTTTTTACTTCATTTCATGCACAGAAAATCCCGCTGCCTTCCCAGGCATCAGCCACTGTCAATTTTCCGAAGCTAATTTATTTTTCAGCCTCAGTGCTTTTCTTAGTCACACCTATGACTCAGCTCGTCAGTCAGTATCTCTTTTCCCTTTGTCCTCCCCCTCCTAGCCGTCACATTATTTCTAACTCCCATCCACTCTTCTGCTGTAAGTCTCTGAGCTACTACTCATCAGATTAAATCCAATCACATTGAATAATAGATATTCATTGATTTGTGTGAAAGACACGGTGCTGCTTTCTGTGAGAACAGCTATTGCTTTCCCTGCCAAAGCCCCACAATACAGCTACATCTCCAAACAGCTCTAGCCAGAGCACAAATTAACCACATTGGAACTGTAAGGGAAGGAATGTAATTATTGCAGCACCTATAAATCAAATCACACAATTGTCAAGGAGTTCTGAAGGGATTACAATATCAATGACATGGCATTCTAGAATGCCATTTGTCTCATAGGGTCAGCTTCTTCACATTATGGAGAATGAGAAAAAAAATAAAACCTATCAGATCATCTTAATTTTCCAGGAAGAGTCATTGCTGTAAGTACAATCCAGAAATTTAGATATAATAACATTTTAAAAGAAAAAAAGGAAAACAATGATAAACATGCCTTCACCTCACCATTTCATTTTTCTTTTAAATATTCGTCTTATTTAATTTATGTATTTATTTTGAGACAGGGTCTTGCTCTGTTGCCCAGGCTGAAGTGCAGTGGCATAATCGTGGCCCACTGCAGCCTCGACCTCTTGCAAAAGCTCTACAATACAGCTGTAGCTGAGGTAGGAGGGACCATGGGCATGTAAAACTATGTCCAGCTAATTTATTTTTGCGGGCAGGGGGGTGAGGTCAAAGTCTTACTATATTTCCCAGGCTGGTCTCAAACTCCTAGGGTGAAGCAATCCTCCTACCTTAGCCTCCAAAAATTCTGGGATTACAGGCGTGAGCCACCACACCTCGTTTCATAAATATTTTCTTTAAATGAGGCATATTCAGTCTCTGTAAAGAACAAGGGGAGATTGTATTTAATCACATTAGAGCTTGCTTACCTTCTGTAAAACAAGCTTCTGGTTTAAGGTCTTCCTCGGGTTCAATTTCAGCTTGTTCACCTTCTCGGGGTAAAGCAACATCAACTGTGCTTCCTTCAGATGAGCTGGTTGTGTTTAATTTCTGGAAACAAAATCCCATTTCAAAGATGTGATTTTCTCTCCTTTTATTTAACTAACTGGGAAATACTGTGCCATTATTATGTGAAAAAAATAGTAGTGATAGCATTTAATTCTACTAGCGTTATTGATAATTATGTACTAATAATTTAACATAACTCAAGTTGGATTATTCAAAATAATGTGACTACCGACCTGAATCAGACAATAAAAGTTTAGGCAACCGTCAGCATGGGTGGTTTGGAAAGGATGGATTATACTGATTAGCTTGTTTTATGATCTGCATTTGTATATGAATGCCATACGAACATAACTTAATACGTTAATACTGAGGCTAAACCAAGAATAGTTGGATAAAGTGGCATGCTGACAACTACTAATGATTATATTAATTAAAATGCATCAAATAAAATTTTAATCTCCACCTTTTCTGATGGAAATTTTCAGAGGACAAAGAATATTACCAGTTGTTTCTAAGTATTGTCCATGTTTCTATAATTTTAGAAAGGAAGAGCAGCACATTAACATTAGTCACAGTCATTATATTTCAACTTTGTGCTATATTTTTCTCTGGCTTACATAATTTTCTCCTTATTTTACTAGAGGAAAAATGATGGATCTCTCTCTCTCTCTCTCTTTTTGAACTGTGGAACTGAATTCAATACTTGCCAAAGAATTCTAAATGAAATGGAAATTTCTTCATAAATGACATTGTCCAGAATCTCTATAGACTTTCATTAGGAGCACATTCTGAATTCAATGTGTGATCCGGCTGTGAATATTTCCTTTAAATAAATCATTGTGACATGCCGCATGGCTAGAAGAGCTACTGTAATGTTACAAGCATAAATAATAAGTACTCTGAGATCACTTAGGAAGACACAATTGTGCAATGTTTTATGAAAATGGATGCAAAGACATGACATACAGCACAACCTAGATAAGGTAAAGCTTTTAAGATGAAAGAATAGTGCATGGACATGTTAATGGTTTGAAAGCCCCCATTAATTTTAATAGCTGAGTGTTAGGGTCACTCTCCCCAAGCCTTCTGAAAGAGTTACTGTGCTATTTTTAAAAAGGCCAAAATGACTCTCTAAACACAGCTCATGTTGGGGAAATTGGGCTCAAAATTCCTGATTTAATGAAGACATAATGCAAATGTAGTTGACTATTTTATAATGTGAACTAATTAAAGGGTAGTATCCAGATGATGCTTTCTGTGATGTTACTTTAAAGGTGACGTTAACCTGACATTAGCCATGTTCAAATACATATATTATGAACATTACTTTAAGTCAAAATACAATTTTTTAGTAGAATACCTCCTAGGCTGGAGTATGGTAAAGAGAGAAGCTAGGTCATCATTTTTGACTGATAGTTCTTAGGATCATAATAGCACAAAAATTTTTTACCATTAATTTCCTATTCATTATGAAAAGGTGGGAAAGCCAAGACATCTTTCTCCTCTCCTAGGATTTTTCTGCATTTTATAGCTAGGATATCTTTATTCATTTAAGAAAGACCTAGGAAAATTACCACTAGCTAGAATTGCAGCAGGTTCTGGTGTAACTAAGAAAATACTGGATAATATTTGGTCTCAGCAACTAACTTTTTCTTTCTATTTCACTGGTAGTTTATGGGTTAATTATTAAGGCTTTTGATGAGTGACAGCAATAATATCCACTGTATAAATAATAACAGTATGAAACCAAAGTATTTGAGGTTAGTTGTAGAAAGTTTCCTGTTTCTTCTTTTTCCTCCCGGCTAATCCAAACTCAAGAACTTCTGAGCCTCGTCATAGTCAACCTCAGCCTCCTCTATGAAGCTTTTCTTTCTTGCATGGTTTTCTTCGTGCTAAAATTTATATAACATTTAATGTATTATACTTGTTTCCTTTGACCAAATATTCTCCTAAATATATGTACATATTTACATACATATACATATATACATACACATATACCCATTACATACACACACACACACACACACACACACACATATGTATATATATATGCCAAAAGATCCACTATATCACCAAGTATAGAACAGACACTGAATAGTTATATTAAGTTCATGAAGAGTGAATAAATGAATGTTTGGATATATTTGAATGTTACTTTACAGAGAGAATTATAGTCTTCAGATAATTTCATCTCTCCATTTTGATATGTAACTCATCTGGTCCTGACTGAGTCTATCTAATTATATTTGAAAATGGATTTTCTTATTGAATAGGAATTATTTAATAAAAAATGTATACTACTAATAAAAACATGTATTTCCAAGATGTTTCTCAAAAATGTTAGCAGACATTCTATAAGGAAATATGAGGGAAGAAGGTAATTATACATGTATACACACACATACACATGTACTTTTCCATTTGAAAACTTTAGAAAAAAATACCCTTCACTTCCCATTTTACCACCATTAATATAATTGTGAGATGTTTAATTTTTAACATTATAATTCTTCCATATGTTTTACTGGTGTCTTATGTTTAATACAGATACTTGCATATTTAAAACAACCCTTTACTGCACAAGCCCTAATAGTCACTAACCAAAATGACAATGGAATCAATCGTTTACATATATGGACCTCTGGGTGTAGTTTTGTTATTGGAATGATCTTTAGATTACATAAATTTGTGAACGTGATTAACTTGTTTGGATATAAATAATCTCTATTCTAATAGCTCTGGAGGTTATGCATTTATATATCTTAAAGTAGAGAGGGACAGTGATCACAGATAGTTCACCTCTCTCCTCCTGGCATTTTGAAAACAGGCAAGAAAAAAACCCTGCCACCATTCTACTGTTGTCCAATGAGTAGAACTCATTTCCTGGAGAATTGATTTAATGTTATTCCGGAGATTTTCTGATTATAAAGATAGTCTTTTTAAACTTAGACTCTAGAAAGCTCCTCAAGGAATGCTCAGAGAGGGTCTTGGCAAATCTTTGGCAAGCTTCCAGGACCCTCATGAACCAAAGCTTAGAAGATGGTGGTTAGTTTTCATTTCACCAATAAGTGTTTTATGGGAGGCTTCCTCATTTGATATAAAGTCAACTCACCCAAGTGGAAGAATCTGTCTCAGCCATAATTTAATCTTTTTTACCCCCCTCCTTTGGGACAGGGTCTCACTCTGTGGCCCAGACTGGAATGCTATGGCATGATCGTATCCTCAACCTCCCAGATTCAATCAATCAATTCAATCAATCCTCCTATCTCAGCCTCCCAAGTAGTGGGGCTATAGGTGCATGCCACCGTGCCTAACTGATTTTTAATTTTTTTGTAGAGATAGGGTTTTGCCATGTTGCTCAGGCTGGTCTCAAACTGCTGGGCTCAAGTTATCCATCCACCTTGGCCTCCCAAAGTGCTGGGATTATAGGTGTGAGCCACTGTGCCTGGCCAATGTAATCTTATTAGTCAGAAATGCTACTACATTACTTTTCAACGCCATAGGTCACATCTTTATCATGGGAAAGTACATATGTTTTAATTCTATGCAGTTATGAAAATGCTGTATCAATCATATAAAATTTCTAAAGTTATGTATTTACCTACAGTTATAAATTGTGAAACATGTTCTTATTAAATTATATCAACTTACCAATTATGATCTACTATCTGACATGCTTTAGTCATTGGATACATAAAGACGTTTACTGCTGTATTTTTGAATCACTAATTTACACCCTGAAAAACTATATAAGCATTTTAAATTCTATACATCTATATAATATGTATCTATACTATATACATAATTCTATATATTGGTATAATCGAAATAATCTAAACATTTTCTAATTAGATTCAACACTTCAGCATTCACATTCTAGTCAAGGGTAGTTTGTAATACATCTTACAGCCATAACCAAAATGATCTCCAAATTTATTTAAATGCATATAACTGATTTAAAAGCAAGTGACCAATGATAAATATAAAGAATAACTTACTTTCTTTATATTGCCATAGCTGTGATACTACAATGATATAAAAAAAGCAAAGAAACCTGAAATTAAATTTACCATATTAAGGAACTGGATGACTATACTAAATTACTAAAATTTATACTTGTTCTGATGTAGCTAGAAAAATATAATTGGGAATATAGGCATAATAATAGAAAGCTTCCATGTAAAACCACATAGCACAAGTTCAAACTTGTTTTCTTGTACTATTGTCTCCCTATTCCTCCAATATATTATGGCACTTAGAGGTTAAATTTTTCCATCCCTTGTAGAAACAACTGGGTCTACAGAGGGATGATGGCTTATGCTCTACAAATGCACGCTGGAAAGCAGGTTTGAAGATGCAACATTCTCCAGGCCTAATTCAGCCGCAGAAAACATGCCTGACTGTAGCAGAAGCCCAGCGCAATGCTGTGGAAGCTGCACGCTGATCCAAGAACCATGTCCTCAAAGACATGGTACCTGAATATGAAGTTTTCAAGAAGGTTGACTACCAATACCACTCACAGGAATGGGTTATTTCAACATAAGAAGCAATAGAGTTAGCACCCATAAAAGGCCATGAGACCATTCCCTGCCCCCCCAGTGGCATGATCTTATATAGAAATTCCCCATATGACAAATATTGCTCTTCATTTTTATGCAATTAAATAATGAAATTTAACTTTCAGAGATAAGAGAGAATGTTAGCAACTGGCCTACTTCCACTGAAATGCGCTCACATTTCATTTATTTTCAATCAGCTATCAAATATTTGACTTTCACAAACTGCTGTATGATTCAAGAGGTAAAATAAAAGATTCAGCCATTACAGATTGCCTTTAAAAATCTAACCATTTCTCTAAATAAAAAATTGTGGATTTTTGTCTTGCTAGTAGACGAGGAAAGCTTTGGTCACACATACTATTAGGGCCTTAGTCTGATCTTTTGGATATGCATAACCATATCTTGACTTACGATATTTCACCTGAAAAACAGCCAGCCACACAGTGAAGCCATTGGGTTGCTTGTCCAAGATTGGAAGAA